TTTTGTCCTTAGAAGGTTCTTTTGGTAATTTTTATCATCTAACCTCATAGAGGCATTTTGATGGCTGAATTAACCTTAGGCCAACTTAGGATTTATTGGAATCCTTTGACTTGCATTTCATATTACTTGAATGCACGAGCATGTTTTTCATGTACTTGTACAAATTGCGATTTTTTTCAATCAATTATGGCCAATGAAATAACCCACATTGTTTTAAAGTTATTCAAATATATCATGATTGTTTCAACTCTTCAGCGTATTTTTTTGATGCATTGACATGTCTTTTTTTGGATGCATCACGTGTTTATGCTATTTCAAAGTTCACGTGGGGTTAGTTAGAGGCGTTCGGGATCGTCCCTATGTTGCTTAGGGACAACCTAATAAACATTAAAAGGTGGTCATCACAATTAGGTTTTGGTTTAGCTAGGTTTAAATCCTTATTAAAAGTCCACACCATCATATTATGAACACTAGTATTGAATTCTTGGATTGTGGCAAGTTCACTTTACTGCTTTGGGATTTGTTTAGCGATAAAACCCTGGTATCGAAAACTGGATTCCTAGACACCCTAAACTTTTAGTCCGCTACTAGCAGTGATAAACACTGACCTCTTGGCTTTGGATACTAAGTGGTAGTACAAAATTTACAAGTTTGGAACAGGTTTTGAATTTTGACTAGGAAGCAATGGAACACTGGAGAGCACTAACTTGGCTTTTGGACGGAGGAATATAAGGGAATGAAGATATGGAGCATAAGGGGAAAAGGAAGTAGAAGGAGGTGCTAAGGTAGAAGAGTAGCTGAGAGCATAATAGATGGAATGCTGTTCTCTTATTGGGTTTGAGGATAATCTGCCAAATCATCTATCAACGCGGTCATTAGTCTTCATAAAATATAAAAAAATTAATTACCAATCTGAGTACTTTTTAATGTCTACAAAGCCATGACATAAATAGCTTCACTAAAATCAATTACAATGGCGACACAACTGTGGATAAAAAATGTGTATTTGCTAAGGTGTCATAACACTAGACATCCATTGAAAAGAATGATGAAAACATTGATCCAAATTAATCGGGACACAATCTCAGAAGGCTGGTCATGAATCTGTTATCTACATGAATCCTTGGCTGGGTGGGCTGGACTCTTGAACATTTCTGGTATTTTTTTTTAAAGTACTTTTTTATTTGGTATGTTTCATGTTTTTTGGGCTGAGGTTAGTGCTTAGCCAATAAGTTCTCCTAAGATCATGCCTCAGAAGTTTTTTTTTATATTTTTTTTGTTGCGATATTTATGATATACATTAAATCTTGTTTATAATAGAAGTTTCATTTTCCATTTGTTTTTTGCAGTGTAAACGTGTGAAGAACTAAAGATGTAACCTTTCGGCAAATTGCATAATCTTTATGGTTTTTTTTTATTTTTATTTTTAGTTTTTTCTTTTGTTTTAAAACATATTTGTTTAATGTGTTTTTTATATTATTTTTATTTTATTTTTTCTAAAAATAAAGTAGCATATTTTTGAAAACACTCAAAATAACTTAGTGTTTTTAAAAACAATCATTCTTTAATCAAATAGTCAAACTTGTTTTGTATCAAATAAAACATAGACAAAATAAAATAAAAATAAAAAAATAGAGAATAAAAATGATCCTAAATTGCCCTTTAATGTATGGAAATTGTATGAACTATTTGCTCCACTAGAGATTTATTATTAGTGTGTGTTGGTCTGACACATTCTGATTGTGGTTCTTCACAGTGTGTTTTTGGGGTTTGGATTTATTTGTGGAGAATTAGACGTTGCGTGAATCAAGTATTTCTTTGGAGGATTTGTTTGTTACTTTTCTCTTTTTTTTTTCAGTTGTCCTTGGCTTTCTTGACAGACATTTTATTAAAGTATAATTAATGACATGGTCTGTTTGACAAAAAAAAAAAAAGATTAGTTGATAATGAGCATGATTGTTGATGTTCAATTTATTGTCGTGCCCAATATTTGCCTTGTTTTGTAAACATCAACAACAATAATAACAACAAAGCCTTAATCCCTCTACGTGGGGTTGGCTACAGGAATCCTTTTTCTCCATCGCATCCTATTTAGTGTCATATTTTTATTTAGTTCTAATAAGTTAAAATCATTTTTTATACAATAAGCCCAAGTCTTCCTAGGTCCACCCTTGCCTTTCTTAAAATAAGTCGAATCTAAAACATCTACTTTCCTAATCGGATCATCAGATGGTCGATGTTTAATGTGTCAAACTATCTAAGGCAACTCTCTCTAATTTTGTTTGTCACTGAAGCTACAGCAACCCTATCACAGATGTATTCATTTCACATTTTGTCTTTAAATGTAAAGCCACTCATCCACCTAATCATTCTCATCTTGACAACACTTAACTTAGTATTATGCTTTTCTTTTAAAGGCCAACATTCAGCGCCATAGAGAATTGTTGTTCTCACCACCCTCTTATAAAATTTTCCTTTTAGTCTTAGCAGTATTTTTCTATCACACAAAAGGCCCGAAGCATTCCTCCATAACCAACTTGAATTCTACTATTAACATCCCCATCTATACACTATCGCTTTGAACAACAGACCCGAGTTATCTAAATCGGTCACACCTTTTAATAATTTGATCACCCTAAGTTTCACTTGTCACTAGAGCTACTACTACTAAAATTACATTCAATGTATTCAGTTTTAGTTCTACTCAACTGAAGTCCTTTAGACTCCAACGTAGACCTCCATAATTCGAGTTTTTCCTGTGCTTTTTCTCTCGTCTTATCCATGAGAAAGATATCATCGACAAAAAGCATACACCAAGGTACATCCTCCTATAAATGTCCAGTAAGACCATCCATAACTAAAGCAAAAAGATATGGGCTTAAAGCCGATCCCTGATGTAATCCAACAAAAATAGGAAAATATTTGTTCAATCCTCCTTCAATTCGAACACATGTAACAACTCTAGTATACACATCTTTAATGACTTGAATATAAGTCACATCGACACCTTTCTTCTGAAGAACAGTCCAAAGGACATCTCTTGGAATCTTATTGTAAGCTTTTTCTAAATCAATAAAAATCAAATGTAAATCCTCCTTATTTTCTCTGAACTTCTCCATCTATAATCCTCCTTATTTTCTCTGAACTTCTCCATCAAACCTCTCAATAAATGTTTAGCTTCCATGGTAGGCCTGCCCGATATAAAACCAAATTGATTATTAGAAATCTTTGTAATACGTCTTAACTTATGTTTAATTACCCTCTCCCATGATTTTAAAATATGACACATGAACTTAAATGTTCTATAATTTGCACATTCTTGTGCATCCCCTTTATTTTCAAAAATGGGGACCAAAATACTCTTCCTCCACTCCTCAGGTCTCCACTCATACTCTTCCTCCACTCCTCAGGTATCTTTTTAGTTTTTAAAATAATATTAAAGAGTTTAGTAAGCCAAGAAATTCACAAATCTTCTAAATACTTCCACACTTTAATTGGGATATCATCAGGTCCTACAGACTTTCCAACCTTTGGTTTTCCTTAAAGCTTCATCAACCTCTTTTTTACTAATGCGACGGTAAAAATGAAACGTTTTATTATTATTAACGATGTTAAGATCACCAAGGTCAATTATATTTTCAGAAACTTCATTAAAAAGTTGATCAAAATAACTCACCCACCTATGCTGAATATTTTTTTCTATGAAAAACACTTTTTAATTTTCATCTCTAATACACTTTACTTGGGTTTAATATTTACTTTTCTTTTCTTATTGTTTGGCTAGTTTATAAATATATTTTTAACCCTCCTTAGTATCAAATCTGTCATAAAGATCATTAAAAGCGGAAGTTTTAGCGTCACAGATTGTTCTATTAGACTCCCTACCAGCCGTTTGATATTTTTCCCATTTTTCTAAGCTTTTACAATTAAATCAGTTTTTATAACATATATTCTTTTATTTTATCTTTTATTGCACATTATTATTCCACCACCAACTATTTTAATTTATAGAAGTTTTTTCTTTTGATTCTCCAAGTACATTTTTTGTTACTTGTTTAATAGTGTTTGCTACTTCATAACACATAACATTTGCTTTTTCATGAAAATCCCAAATTTTGAACTATTGAATTTTATTCATAAAAATAATTTTATTTATGTCTTTTAAGTTCCTCTATCTAATTCTACGATGTTGAGTCCAAATATTCTTTATTTTACAACTCTTCACCTTAAAATCTAGAACTAATAATCGATGTTGGATATTTAAATCCTCATTTAGAATGATCTTACAATCCTTACAATCTCGACGATATCTTTTTCTCATAAATAAGTGTTTTATTAGATCCATTCTTATAAGTAATAAGATGTTTATCTCTTTTCTTGAATAAAATATTAGTAATAAAAAATCATACGTTAAAGAAAAATCTAAAATGACTCTACCTTTTTCATTAATTACTCCAAAACCATGGTCACCATGAATATTTTTGAAATCTTCTACCACTCTACTGACATGTCCATTTAAGTCTCCTCCAATAAAGTCTCCTCCAATAAAAATTCTCTCCAATAAAAATTCTTTCTTCAATAAATTATCATCTCAATAAAATAAAGGGGCATTTACTTTTACATACGTGGCACACAATTATTATGTATTTACATATCTCGTACTTAAAACTTTCATATTTACATCTATAAAAAATAGCACTATTATCACTTTTAAAAGTCAAATACACCTATGCATTCATCGGTTTAAAGCGTCAAAGTGTTATGTGTGTAAATATGAAAGTTTTGGTGTGAGATATATAAATACATAATAATTGTGTACTATTATGTAAATTTCCCTAACATATATGTGTGCCATATGACTTTCATATAAAGTTGCATCTACAAGAGTCATGCTCTTCTCGGCCTCCCTTTATTATTTGCAAGATTTTATTCTCTCTCTGTCTGTCTCTCTCTCTCTCCCTTACGTGACTTCTTGTGTTTTTTGAAAATGTCTTTTTCAGATTCTATTCTTTTTCCTGAAGTACCAATTGCCCTGCGACTATCTAGTCATCTTCTACTTGGTGTTGTGAGGATTTACTCAAAAAAGGTGAACTATCTTTTCCATGATTGTAGTGAAGCTCTTGTGAAGATAAAACAGGCATTTCGATCAACAGCTGTTGATCTTCCACCTGAAGAATCAACGGCACCATATAATTCTATAACTCTGCCAGAAACTTTTGACCTTGATAATTTCGAGCTTCCTGAAAGTGCTTTACTCAGTAGGTCTGTTCTGAACTAAATGCGTTTCTTTAGAACTTTTTTCCTTGTAAATAAATTTTTCAGGGTTTACGTACATCTGAGCCGTAAGCAATATACTGTATTTATATCTATAAACTTTTTTACTTTTTCAGCAATTTTGTTGACCACCATGTCAGTACTAAAGATCAGATTACTCTTCAAGATACAGTTAAAGGGACTTCACACCCAACATCAATGTTCGGATTGGATGGTTGGTTCTATAGGAACTGTTTATCTTCAATTGAGATTTACTTTTTTCTGGTCTTTTTAGCTAAGCTCTGAAAATTTGATTTTGCAGAGAGGTTTGGGGATGGTGATGCTTCTCATATTGGTTTGGAACTCGAGCAGGTCAATGCTAATGATTGTCTGTTTGTTGTTGACCTTTTTTTTTTCCTTTTTATTTTGAATTATTTTCTGATTTGGACTAATGAAAGCCAAATCCTCATACTGTTTTAACTATTCTGTAATTCATCTCTTTCAAGCTGCAGCTCCATTTTATGGTACTCGAAATTACTCTTTTCTTCATTTATCTTACTGCAGGAACTATTCATGGACAAGAATTTCTCACCTTTACATGCTTCATTTTCAATTGTTTCTAAAGAGGGGTAAGCATTCTTGTCCTGAATTTCATGGACTAGCAATTTTAAATCTTAAAACTCTTCGCAATAAGCTGTCCATCTTTCTGTGTTATGCTATCTCATCCATTTCTTGATTGACAACCTTTTGAATGTCTTTCCACCTGTTGTGGGCTCATTTGCATACAGTAGCTGCAGTGGTATGTCTTTTCATATGTTTTTTTTAACTTCTGACTGCGCTGATATTTTTTGTGAATATTTTCTCAGAGGACTTCTTCACGGAGAACCTTCTCTTCCGTCGACTAGCTTGGGAAATGACAGACAATTAAATCACAACGAGGGAATTTGCAGTGAAATTCCAAATGAGTTATCGGAACTTCTTCGTAACAATCAATACAGAGAAGGTTTTTCAAGTTTTGGGGGTTTGAGAAAGAATGAAGATAGGAGTCATTTTCATAGCTATAGTATTCAAACTCCGGACCTTAATGAAGTGTTTATACCTGACCATCAAATGGCTCCATCTCCATATATTGCTTTAACCCCAGAAGAAGTTCAAAATCCACGTTTAGTTGAGCCTGCTCAAGGTCCTTCGACTCCTAGATTATTAGAAGTAATACCATCCAATTTTCAAGAAATTCCTGTTCTTAGTCCTCAAGAAAGAGCTGTTACGCCTGCAGAACCTGGGAGGCCATGCAGAAGTAGTGGTCCTTTAATGGAGGTTGAATATCCTTTAGCTGTAAATGAAACTAAGCATACAGATGGTCCAGCAATGGATCATAGTTTGGGAGTACCTGCTGAGGGATTCTCCTCTTCAGTTGAGTTGGAGCAAAGGTCTAGTTCTCTAGCACTGACTCATTTGGATGAACATCTAAGGACACATAATAGTTTCCTTCCTTCTGGTACTGAGGATACGATAGGTAAATCAACTGGTAATGAAACGAATGATCTATCAGTAGCCGACCAGCTGCAAGTCAACAGGGAGGTGTGTCTTCCTTCAGCCATTTCTGATCTGCCAGCCAATCTTGATTTACATATTAAGCCTATAAAAGTCTTTGGAGCAGAGCCCATCTCTTCAAGTTTTTCCACTGATAATGTGAATAAAATAGTTGTTTTGGGAGAAATTTTTGATGAAAAAACAACAGCTCCCAATTGCACAGAACCATCAAACATGAGTAATCCGGATCATGCAGGAGACATCGGTTCTTGTCTCAGTAGAAACACATCTGCTGCTGCATCCGGTTTTCTTTTGAGACCATGCAGCTCAAATCTGCCTCAGGATGTAAACTTGCTAGAAATTCCTGAGCTGTCTTGCAGGGAACAGTTCCCAATTAGGGAGGAGGCTCCAAATATATGTGAATCCTCACGTGAGGTTGAAGGTTTGTTTGACTGATCATACCTTGCTTTACAGTTAATGTATTTATTGAAGTTTGACTTCTAGATTCATGTGAATTGGCATTTTTCAGGTGATGACTTTCGCTCTATGAATTTTGAAGATTCAAACTTAGAACTGAAGCAGGAACTACAGTACATGTCCTCTGGTGTTAAATCTGGTGTCACTGAGCCGCATGAGCTTTCAGCGTGTGGCCCTTCAAACGTCGGCCAGCCAGATTGCTTCAATTGCTCTTCCTCTTCTGAATTTGTAGAACCTGAGAAGATTGTCATTCCATCACGCATTACTGATTTTCCAAATGATAGTGGACAGCAACCTTTAGTCAAGGGAGTTGCAGAGTCTGATGGAAGTGTTGATAGATTTAGCACTATTTCAAATGTTTTCCGGTCAAATCACTTAAATAACTTTTCCAGTTCTGAATTTCTAGAACCTGAGAAGATGTTAAATGTTGATTTTACAAATGATAGAGGACAGCAGACTGCAGAGAAGAGAATGGCAGAGTCTGATGGAAATATTGATAGATCCAGCACTCTATACAGCAAGAAACGTCGACTAATGGACAACTCAACAGTCCAACAGACTGGTACTGAAGCTAAGTTGTCTGGAGTTCCAAGAAGCTGGAGAAATGCTGTTCCCGATGATGATGATTTATTGGCATCCATTTTAGGTATGTGAAAATTTCAGGCTTGTATATTGTCCATTTTGACCGTAATGAAGGGTAAAAAGAAAATCATGTTTTTACGTTTATGTTCGAAGTTGATTTTTGATATTTTTGTATTTGTTATCTCAGTTGGAAGAAAGTCTCAATTATTGAAAATTGGAACACTGTTGTCACCTTCGACAGCATCATCTCATAAGAGGCCTCAAACTATGCCCAAATTTGGCATGCTTAAAAGAAGAAAGGTGCTGGTGGATGGTACTGTGTTTTTGCATGCTGAGTATGTCTTCCCTGTCCGTTGTTCTGTGTCCCATTTTTATCAGTATTTTGGGTCATTCAATTTTAGTTTGGGATTTTGTTTTCTTTTTTAATTTAATTCTACATGTTCTTTTTATTCTTTTGCGATGCACCCTAATATTTGTTAAAAATTAATTGGGCTTGAAATATGCACATACCTTCCATTATCCTAACATTATATTCTTTTACAAGAGCTCTCCATTACAAAAATCTTAGCAAAGCGATCTAGGTCCTCGATTACAAAATCTGGTGGAATTAACTGCTCCCTTCCCCAAATCAATCCCATGCATAAATAAAATTCCTGCATTCTTTATTTCCATTTAACCTATAAAATTTTCTTTTTTTTGCATCTTTCCTTACAATATTGTCCTGTGCTGCTCTCTGCTCTTTATTTTTTTTTGGTTTATTGTGATCATTATTGGCTTTAATACGGTTAAGGCACTCAGAAAATTAAAATTGTCATTTTTTTTAAATTTAACAATAATCCATTATTAAGTTATAAAAAGAACATCCCTATTTGTTATCGGCAAAGTATGCTCAGCTGTCTAGTTCATGCTCTTAGCATTGGTTTTGTTGAAAAATTTCGAAAATAATGATGATTATATTCCATATTTGTTATAACTCTATATTTAGAGGGTTATGAATTGTATAAGGGATCTTGAGAATCTCTATTTATTTTTCTTCTTACGTAGAGAGATTAGTTGCCTCTTATATTTGTTATTATTCTTTTCCGTTTCTACTGTATTCTATTTTTATTGCTTTCTTTACTAGTAAGTCCTGTAATGCGTATTTATGCCCCTCTTTGCATCAGTAAAATTAATTCCTCTTGTATCTTTTTCATGTTATCAGATTTTTCCGATCCGCAGGGGCGTTAAGTTAATTGACGTGTGTATCGTATTCGTGGTCGCCTCGAAGTCCTTCGGCGCTGAGACCCGGAACTTCGTCTCTCTGTTTTTCTACTTCGTCGTCGAATTGTATCGTTGGAATCGTCTGATTCGCCTGGTCGTCTCGAAGGCCTTCGACGCAGAGGGGATCGTGATCGGCGCCGAGACGCGGAACTCCGCCTTTCCGTTCTTCTACTGGGTCGTCTTCTGCTTTTTCTGTCTGTGCCGCTCGATTTTGGGAGCTGTTCGATGCCTTGCCACTCGATTTTGAGCTGTTTGAACACCCGCTCGCTTGCCCGCCGCTAGAGGACTGCTTCGCCTCGTCCACCTCTGTTTGCTCCGATAGCAAGCGTACGATCCTCTGTGGCATCTTCCGCTTTTCCTTTTCTTTTCGTCTCGCGAAGGCAGTAATTCTCTGAAGGCGGTAATCTTTTGCTTCGACGGGAGAATCTTGAGCTCGAGCAAATTCACCGCCCTTCATTTCTAAAATGTCTGAAGTCACGTGTAGAACAAGTCAACCTCTTCAGCCATCTCAGCCCGAACCTCAGAGAAATACATATGAAAATCTTTCCAATATTACTACAATCCGACTAAATGGTGATAATTTTCTTCGATGGTCACAATCTGTTCGTATGTATCTCTGAGGAAGAGGAAAGATTGGCTATATCATAGGTGATACTAAACAGTCTGACGTGAATAACATAATGTATGTCATTTGGGATGCGAAAAACTCAATGGTAATGACATGGTTGTTCAATTTCATGACTGAAGAGATAAATACAAATTATTTGTGTTACTCTGCAGCCAAGGAATTATGTGAAAATGTTTCAGAAATGTACTTTGATCTTGGAAATCAATCCCAAGTTTATGAGTTGACCCTAAAGTGGATGGCGGGGGAATGAATGCGAAACTCGATCAAGATCTCATAGTTTCGTCATCACGGGTGGTTGTGGTCCCTGATCTACTTAGTCAGAAGAGGTAGTTGACCCAACCTGATAGAAGGATTCTTGTCAGCAGCCATGGGTTGCTTCGTTCAAGATATCCCTGTAGAGCTGGGATGGATATTTGTCTAAGAGGATAAATTTAACTTGATCTTAGCTAACAGAAGTTTTATGTCAATCAATTATACCTTTGTGATTCACAACTCAAATGGTAGAAAACCAATGAGGAACCGTGATCGTAATATAATGATTTCATTTGGCGGGAACCACCTGATCAGAGAACTTTTGTTGTAACAACTAGTTTGCTGTGTCATTTTACGGAAGAATCAAACGGACAGTGTGCTCACGCTACATTCTTACTGACATGCAATTACTTTGATTATGAATATGTTAATACATTTGATATGACATTCGTTATTTTGTGAGCTAAAGTCAATTTGAAGTTTGTTACCCTCTACAAACTGCTGCAGAGGGTAGATTGAATTTACTTTTAGCTTTTAGTGATTTATTTTAACTTGAGCTTTTAGATGACTTCTTTGAAATCTTGTTTTAAAACATTAACCCCTCCGGTTAAAATCTTAGATCAACACGACCATCGGAGTATTGAATATTTAAAGTATTTATATTTTAAGGAGGCAGTTAATTTCGTCTTTTCAGGGTATAAGTTCTGTCGACATCTTTCCTTTTAAAGATGAGGATTAGACTAAGTGATTTGGACTTATAAATTCTAATTTTGAATTTTAAAAATTTATTTTGAAATTACTAGACCCGTCTACTTCAATCCTTGTGAGAAGGAGGATCAGACTAGTTGGGCGGGGCTTGCGACTTTATCCGATAGGTAAGGTGGATCAATTAGCCCGCGCATCATTCTCGAACCTAGTATTTAAGCATCTAATATATTGGTTGGAGCACATGTTAGCATTAAATGTCATGTTTGAACTATTTCAGTTGGACCATTTGATATCTTAAGACAATTCATATGATTTTAAAATATGAATTAAATCAAATAGCTTACATACAAGTTTTCATTTTAATCACTTTACCGCATTCTGTTCGCTTGCAAACGTGCTGCGAATCCAGTGGCGGTGATGATTAATTTTAAATGTTATAAAAGCTCTATATTTGAATTGTGCTTCACCTCCTAGGAGCTTAATTTCAAAAATTTTTATTTTGAATTGATTTCCAAGCTTTAGGAGCCTAAGTTTGAATAGCTCAATTTCAAAATATTTTCAAATGTTTTGAGCTTAAAGTTTAAAGTCCAATTTTTAATATTTTTATGTCATTAAAGTTTATGTTTTAATAGCTCATAACTTTATTTTTTTTATCCTTAAGAACCTAATATTGAAAAGCCTTGGTCCCTTATATTTTAAACCCTAAGAGCTTAAACTGTAAAAGCTCAAGTCCAAATCATTTTAAAATTCAAATGAGTTAAATTTTATGTTATTTTTTTAGCTCAAATATTTTAAAATTTTAAATTAATTATAAGTCTAAATCACTCGAAATTTTGACAGTCTCTTAGTATCAACCTCGATCAGGGGGCACTAGAGAATGCAAATATTCCTAGCTATTTCAAAAGAATCGCTGGTGAGTGTCATAAGACACTGCTATTGGAGAGCAAAATCAAAGTTTTTAACCCATGTTATCGAAAGATGCAACGGTGGAACAAAAGTAACATTTAACCCGTGATCTCAAAAAATGTGACGGGTCTTCAGTGTACCTGTAGAAAGGATTAGATTCCAAATTAACTTCTCCATTTCGGCAGCCTCTCGACGTCAATCCCTGCTAGGGGCACGAGAGAATGTCAATCTTCCCAACTGTCTCAAAAAACTTGCTAGTCAGTGTCACGAGACACTGTGGTTCACCCACAATCTTAAAACATGCGACTGACCTTCAAACTACCTGTAAAAATTTCAAATCACAAATAGAGAGTTCCTCGATTTTAAATATAATTCTCCAGACGTGTTCTCATTTTTCTTTGTCTAACAGATATTTGTTCTACTCGAATTGAGATTTTTAAAAGAGCTTCCCAATTGCCCCAATATTGTACCTATAGGAAGGCATGAAACTTCAATTTAAAGAAATCTCCAAACAAGTTTGCGCTTTTGCCGCTTGACGGGTTTTATGGTCTCCTCAGATTGAAGTTTTAAAAAAAAGAAAGTTTCCCATTGCCCCCACCTTTACACCTTTTCAAACCCTGACGATGATGACGGTGACGACAAGGCCAACAGTAAATTAAAAAATGATAATACAACACACAACAATATTTAAAAAGAAAACTAAATGAACAGGAAATATGTTTAGAAAATGGTTCAGGCAGAGCAAAGGTAGTCGGGTCGGGCTGAGTAGGTAGAGATCACATAGGAAGAGTAGCTTGGACTCTAGGGCATGGGGATCGAAGGAGCGGATTTGGATTGCGAGGATGTGGCGACCTCGGTGTGCTTAGGGGAGAAGATGCGTGATTAAGAATAATAATAATAAGAAGAAGAAGAAGAAGAAGAAGAAAAAGAAGAATGACTCGAGCTAAGGGGAAGAGAGGAGACAGTGGAGAAGATCTATGAGGATTTGATCGCAAGAGAGGAATCGAGCCTTCATTTGTTGCGATTTCAAGTCTACAAAACGAGGAGTGGGGAATGACAAGAAACAATGCTAATGAGGGCTGCAAGCTCTTGTTCGTCTGCTTGTAACTGAAAAGGAGAGCTGGGGAACAGTTATCTCCTTTTGGAGGGCTCCCAAAGGAGGAAAAGGTAATCAATTAAGTGATTAATAATTTAATTAATCAATTAATTATATTTTTTCCTTTATTATTTTCTTTTCCTCTTGCTTCTTTCTTCTTCTTCCCTTTTTTTTTAATATACGGTCAACAATTGTTTGCTTAAATTTGGCTTGTATTCACTGCCACCGTTATTCTATGTTGCTTTCCCTGTGGTGATGTCTGTATCTTCGCATATGTACATGAACAGCTTTGGTTTGGATGGTTTGTGCTGAAAATATTGCACTTGGAAGTTTATTTTGAGCTTCAAGTGAGACCAACTTGAAGGCTCATTGCTTTTTAATTTGTGTTTTTCTAATGACTTAAAGATCTACTTAAGTTAAGCTTGAATTTGGATTGGCTCAAGTCTGTATTTTTTTTTTATCTCTGGCGGTAGTTTACTTGCTCAAAATTTGTTTTCGTTATCACCCCCACGTTTTTCTGTTGATGCCTCCCTATTTCTATCATGCTTCTTTTAGCATAGTTTTTTTATTTTTCTTACCTGTTTTCATTCAACAGTCATGTTTGCAATTTTTATCTTTCAAATGAATTTAGAATTTGCTGAGTAAAAAATTGTTTTTTCTTGCTGCTGTTACTTATTTTTTACTTCATCTTTTTTTGTGCAGTACTATACGACAACAGCTAGTAAATACTGGGGACATTCGTCGTATTCGAAAAAAGGCTCCTTGCACTAGACCTGATATTTGGAGGATCAATATTTACGAGGCGGAGGATGAAATTTTTAAAAATTCTGTGTTAACTGGTGGGTATTTTTTATAGCCTCATACCATGTAACCTTAACTTACCTTGTGCTCATGTACCACTATCATCAGTATACAGTTCATAACGAGCCTCACATAATCACAATTTGCGATAGAGCATGACTGTCGGCGTTTAAAAAGGGGGGAGTTACGTTTGGGGGTCGCCCGTAAGAAGCTGTCGGTCGCCGGAATCGAAATCCCGTCACCCGCTTCGGAAGGACTTTTTAATTTATATATATATATATATAATTTTAGAAATACGAAATCAAACTGACCTCATATTTTTCACAGTTTAAATGAAAGAGCGCTCTACCTCAAATCCTGTATCTACCCCGAAGAATAAACACAAGACCTGAGGATGAAGCTCGATCAAATAAACTAAGAAAGATATGACGTCCGTTTGGGTCTGCGAAACCATTTTATTTGCCGACAAGTTCCCCTATTTAATACAAATAATTAAATAGGGTTTATTTTAAGCTGGGTTCGGAAAAGCTCCCTATAAGGGCAAGCCCCTATAGTTAATTACATCTCAAATGACCGAAGTCACCTAAGAAAACTCTCGATAAAAATCAGGGAATAATGTCTTCAAAGAGGTCAAAAGGATA